AGAGGTGATAGGTGAGGATGAAAGCAGGTCAGTTAGCCCATCGTGAAAAATTCCGATAAAAATAACCACAATGGTTTCCAGGAGGATCTGCGTGGAGGTCGACCTGATAGGCTACATTGCTAGTATTAGAACTGTTAGATCCCATTACCAACAATCCTTTTCCCCCCAACTGAACTAGGTTGAGAATATGTATCTCAGTTGCAAACCAAGAACATCCTAGAGAACGGGATGGGTGGAGGGACTGACTGAATTTGAGTTACGAATTAAGTTTTTACCTTCGAAATCGTGCATTTAATTAATTAATTATGAAGAGTATAGTAAACTATCTGTCACTCGTGACTTCGTTCGCGTGTGTGTGATATGTAGGACATAGTTTACTAGGACAGTACTTCTTATCCGATCAGTGGCTATTTTTTATTTTGACGAGTCTATGCCTTTCTCCATCCCATAAAGTATGTGTGTACTAAGTTTCATGATGATCATTTAAGCCGTTAAGGGGCCAAAAGGTAACAAACAAACTCACATTACATTAATAATATTAATTGTTTACAAGGGTTTTTGTTTCACTGATCATAAGTGACCATGTAGGCTAAAGGTTGAAGGGCGCCATAATGTTGTTAACCCTGTTGCTAACAATTATTTACTCTTTGAAACTGATATTTTGATTTGGACGTACCTGACAATTTTAATTACATACCGTATAAAGGGGTAAAACTATCGGGTTTTTTCATATATTTCACTATAAAATCAAAATAACCAACAGGCATACCAAAACCCATAGAGGTTTGTCTGGAATGGCATACATTCTGCTTATTTTGTACTTGCCAAGACATTCGAATAAAAAATATTGTTTATACCTAATTACACGAAATGATATACTACAGATTGTTTAAAAATACTTTTTAAATTTATGTTTTATATTGGACTGTGTGATACTTTGTATGAAACGTGAATCTAAATTATTTATAATACGTGAAACAAGATACAGAGCGGTTCCCTCGCCATAAGTACTGGATGCCCTAACTGTTAAAAGTTTATTATTAATTTTTTGCCGGGTTTCAATATTATGGATGATTGTGTTTTATATATTTTTTTATTAATAAATTGCTCTTTTATAATACTGTATATGACTTTAGTATGAATCGGAAGTACCTTACAGTTATTTGAATAATTTAAAATCATTGTTTTTTTTTATGCTACATGAAACATTTTTTTTGTATTCTGGTTTGTAAATAGAATATACGATTAAAGTAAGTTTCGAATTATAGCAAAACATTCGAAACTACTTATATGTTCTATACGATTATTGAGTCGACAAGTGTGTTATATACCGTCGGTTTAACTTTGAAAGGCAATCTGTCCTTAATAATATATAAGTTACTCAGGAGACAGCTAAGTTTACCACATGTAGGTACAAGTGATATAGTGCAACCAGTTAAATTTTTTATCAAATATAAGACCCAACTAGGTATATTTGGGGGGAAAGGAATTGTTAGCAATAGAGGTTGACAGCCCTATTGCTAGCAATATGCCTTATTAGGTCGACCTCCACGTGGTTCCCCCTGGAAACCATCGTGAACAATTATTGTTGAATTCGTCACAATGGGCTAACTGACCTGCTTCATCCTCACCTATCATCCTTCACTGGTGCCCCGCCGGTGTATACCGATAGCGCGGGTGAGGTTATCATTCCATTATCATCCATTAAAAAAAAACTAGGTATATTTTACAACATTTTCGATAGAGGGCCAATTACATTTAATAGTAGTTCGAGGGTTCTTATTCACATGATGTATTGAATCCTAATAAATGGAGAACAAATATGAATAATTTTGGTTCTATTAATATTAAGGACTAATCCATTATTACGACACCACTTACTGATATAACTAAATCTGATTGCAATTTAGACAGATTTCAACATTTCGATTCTCGATCAGCTATCAGAAGACAGGTATTAGCATATTGGTTGGAAGTACAAAAACCGACTATATTGTACATATCATTAACATAAATAATTAAATTCAGAGCACCGAGCACAGAGCTTTGAGTCATTCTTTCTTTCGCTGTTACTACGTCACTATTAGTGTTGTTTACATTAACACTGTAAGATCTATTTTGGAGATGGTTTTCGCACTATATCCGTACTCGACCTCTCTATATCAGAATTCTCGAGCCTATTGACCAATGTGTTATGATTTAAGTATCAAATGCATATGAAACGTCAATAAAAAAGGCCAGAGCATGCTTACAATTTAAGCATATATTTATTTCATCAGTAAATAAGGATAAAAGAGAAGTTGTATGTTTACGTGGTTGAAATTCAAATTGATTTCTCGAAATAATATTATGTTTTTAATATAATTTACGAATTTGTTTACTAAAATATTTTTCTACGGTTTTATTAATGGACTATAAAAGTGTAATGGGATGTTAATTAAATAAATCATCGTGTCTCCCTCCTTTATGAACAGAGCCTATGCAGTCTCTTTTAAGATAGTCGGGATATTTTCCTGTTTTGGTCTTAAAAAGAAAATAATTAATATAAAGGCTTGTTATTAATTAGGTTAGTAATGGCAACGGATATTTTATTGGTTACAATATTAATGTCTACGATTTTGATCGCATCCTAACTTGGAGATCCACACATCACAATTCCATTTAAGACCTTCAGAGTTACAAAGAGCTGTTATTTGTTTATTAGATAGTTTTGCATATATTGCTGCGGCATGTACGCGCTTGGTGCGCTTGCTGCAATCAAGTCCTGAAAATTTTTGGGTGATATTTTTATTACAGCTTAAGCACTTTTTCAACACCATAATTGTGTAGATACTTTAAAACACACACAATTTTAACGACTATATTCAGAAGAACAAGGAGGATACGTGTACGTTACTCAAAGTTCGAACACAATATAACAGTTACAATCTATTTCAAAGAAGAATAGCAATTGTGTTAATTATCTTATACTGCGCGGCAGCAGTAACAGTACTGTAAAAACTAAACTAAACTTGTATAATAAGTATGGTAACTTGATCTACTGAGTCCTTACTGATATAATACCTACTAGTTTTATTATAAATGCAAACATTTGTGTAAATCTATAAATAAATATTTGTTATTCTTTTACACAAAACCTCTTGAATGGACAAATGAAATTTGGTACACGGATAGGTTATATTCTAATTTGAGATTTTTTAACACAGAGCGCAAACGTGCAAAGACTTCCTTGATGCTAAATGACTAAATGACTTAAGTCCATACGCACACGCAGCATTAGAGGAATTGCAAGTGCATTGCCGCCCTTAAAAAATAAATAAATCTAGCTCCTAAATTTGAAATAAATAAATATTTTAAATGTATATCGATTCACGCGTGCGAAGCAAGGGATATATATAGGTTCTTCTTTTACTGTTATAAATTTGAAACTACGTGAGAATGTTTACATCGCTGGATTTTTGTTACTCTTTTACTAAAATAACTGCTAAACCAATTGGAATGACATTTGGTCTATGGATAGGTTACATATATTCTGACTTAGCAGATGGGATATTTTATGTACTAGTTCAGGTAGACTTATAGCTCTGCGTCTTACAGCTGGTGAAAGTGAGATTGCTTCTTAGCGCCTTATCATATTAACAAATTATTATACAATTTGGTATACACATACTATTTGGGATTGAGAAGTATTTATTTACTTTTTATTACGATCAGTAAACATAGCTCGATAAGGCGGATGAAGTCGTGGATAAAAGTCTCTAATATTATAAATATAAAAGTGAGTGTGTTTGTTTGTTACCTTTTGGCGCTTTAATGACGTAATCAAGTCACGAAGTTTAACATGCGTATTCTTATTTAGGACAAAGAAGGAAAGACTGTTTTTTCCCCGGTCACGTGAAGAAAGACGTTAATAAAGATTAAGTCACTTGCTTAATAAACAATATGAATTATAATAATTTGAAGTGAAACTCATTATTAGCTATTAGAAATAAAGTCATGGCATGAGTATTAAGGGTGTCATGTTCCATGTGTTTCCTGTGATGTCATGTACATGGTAAACAAATAAATAAAAAAAGAATAATTAGGTAATTTTACTTTTAAAAGTGTGTTTGAATTAAGTATCTTACTCTTAGAAGGAGACTTTTTATAAAAGTCGATTGCTTGGGTACCTCTGACCCATTCGTGTTTCAACCGTAAAGCAGCTGTGTTTGCATGGCTGTGTTTCGGTTTGAAGAAAGGGATATGGCGTGAATTTACTGGGTACAAAGGAATAACACCTGAGTCCTCAGGAATGGCAACGCATGAGGGGTATCATGGGCGAAACAATATACTCTGTTATGTCCATGGTACTGCTCATGTTTATAGACTATAACATACTCATTTTAAAATAGTTAAATGTTTTAAATTTTTTTTAACAAAAATTCGTTTATTGATGCTATTTTTTTATCAGATAGTTAAGTATCTCAAATAAAAAGACCTAGCTAAAGTCATTTGTTGTTAATTTCTTACTAACCAATATAATGGATCATAATTTATTTGAAATTAAGTCTCTCGATCAAAAACACCTAGTTGATAATTGACAGTCTTTTTTTTTTAAACAATGCATAATTCCACTCATTAAATTATAATACGAATATAGGAAAATGTAGAATACAGATATCTATGTAATTAATATAAATTTACACGTTCTTAAATTAAATATAATAACAATGTTGTGTTCCTATAAAGAAATACAAAAAAAAAAAAACTGGTAAAATTATATACACTGATATAAAATCTGGGAATCAATGCGTTAATATTATTTCTACGTACGTTTTTGTCATTATTAGTCTTCTTTGTAAGGGTGTTTTAATCAAAATATGGTGTTGGAAAACGCATCTACCCTTAGGCTATAGGCTTCGTGACAACTGTTGAGCGGTTGAGCACATCTGCGCTGTTTTCGTACAGCCTGCGTTCTCTATATTAAGGTGAGGGACTGCCCGCGCGATCATTCCCACCCCAGTCGCGGTTCCAGGCAGACGTCCTAACCTGCCGCCCGTACCAGTGTCGCGATACGCGCGCAATCTTTTACGATCGCGAAAATGAAGTGTTTCAAAATATGTGTTCTCCTGACTTTATATTGTTTAATTGTGGACGGTGCCGAACTTAAAATTAAAGAAGAACTTCAAGCTATGGCCGAGCAGATAGATATCTTGAAAACTTTGCATTTAACAGATGTCACGCGTCTTCGGAGAGATCTTGAAGAGCTCAAGTAAGATATGATTTATTTTTGCACGATTATATATATATGATAAATATTATTTTATCGCGAATTGAGTTTATAATATGATTTTATTTTTAAAGAGGAAATTAAAATTATAAAAAACTATACTTTGGCATAGCGCGGTCGACTGAGCCTTTAACTTGTCTATTAAAATTTGCTGTGCATTTGTTATCCTCATTTTTTATCATCATTATTCTGCTTTCCTTAATATAATAGCAGGGTTACTTATATGTTTATTTTAATGGTTTAGATTTATGTGTTAAAATAGTAAAAGAATGCCATTTATTTTAAATATTATTACTTATTTTTATTATTTTTAAATTCAAGGGCATATACATACATATATTATATAAGGGTATGTAAATACTCATCATATGGTGCTCATATTGTACTCATATAGTACTCAGCTACGTATTATATATAATGCTAGTGCGAAAGTATACTTTACCACGATCTAAGTAAATAGGGTATTAGTGGGGGGGGTTGATGGATTTGACGGTGATGAGTTGGGCTGTGTCCACTTCAGAATTTAAGAGTACGTATATACTTTTTTAAGGAGCCAGGCCCTCCCTGAAAAATAATTTTATATATGCCAATGCTCTGTTCTGTGGTTTTCCTTAAAACTTACTCTAGACGTTCGTTTGTTTTTCACAATATAACATTTAAAATTTATATCTTAATTACTGTGATATCGTTTTAATTAGTATTACGTTTTTTTAAACATAATTACTTACTGTGTGTACTTAGACACGATTGGATAAGTACGTATTGTATTCATCTTACCTATCCAATCGTGTTTAAGTATAGGCATGTACCTATAAATGTACTGGAAAATATGTAGGAAGTATATATACCTAGTACAAATATATATCATGAAATTTTCGATCAAACCAGAATATAATTGAACCTAGTTAGCGTTTACTGTTCGATATTTGCCAAACGGAGTGAAGTCGGTCTTTCTCAAAGTAAATATTTCGGAGACGTTGAGTACGGTTGGCCACAGAAGTTAAAGTTACATTACTAGTAAATTTGCTGAAATGTGCACTGTAGTTATTCAAAATATAAATTATTAGGCCTAATAAACTACCTAGATTATGGTTCGATCTAATACAATCTGGCCCGGTTTCTATGGGTAGACAGAATGATTGAAAATAACACATAGCCTATGTTACTCGCTGATAATGCAGTCGAAAGTTAAAATGAGTAGTTTTTGAGATTATTCATTACAAACAAAGAAACAATCAAATCTTTCCTCTCTATAATATAGTACCTATAGATATAGATATTATAATATAGATAAGTGCCAAGTTCTATACATGTTTTTATACTTGCATAAAGCATTATTTTTACTTATTACATGACACTAATGTAAACGAATTTTACATGTTACGCTTATCTATTTTAGTGGAAACCGATGTCACTTACTGCGTATTAAATCATACACAAATTTTTGTATTAGTCTTATTTTACCTGTTTATTCGACTGTTTATGAAAAGAGAATTATGTGTTTGCATATCATGTACGAAACTTTGTTGGAGTGTATAATATGCTATTAACGTGTTCGAGGAAGGAGGATTACTAATAATGGAAACGCCAATCTCCGTTGCTAGCAATATTGCCGGTCAAGTCGACCTCCATGCATTCCCTATGGAAACCATCGTGAATAATTCTTAGCGACTAAGCCATGATGGGCTAGCAGATCTAATTTGAGTTGAGTTGCTATCCGTAAATGAAGTCCCAGACTCAGTTCTCGAAAGGAAAGTCCGTTTAGGAAACGAACTTTTCAGATTTTGCTCGCCTTTGGATGTTCTGAGTGGTGCTCAAGGGGCAGGGGTTCGTTGCAACGATCCTAGTTTTAGGCTCAGGCGATTGGTGTAATTGTGTGGTACGTATATACGCGCGTGCTCCAATGCCATTAAAGACTGCTATTAAAGAGCTCGAGAAAAGGATTATTATTAATGGGGACGGTAATCCCCGTTGTTAGAAATATTACCGATCAAGTCGATCTTCACGTAGACTCCATGGAAACCATCGAGATAAATTCTTAGTGAATAACTCTGGGTGGGGTTTTATAATAATGGATAAAAATTAAATGGTATACCCGCCTATACTAAGTTCCTAGCGGTATACAATAGCAGGGCTCCAGTAAAGGAAGAAGCGATGAGAATGAAGAACCCAGATAAATTGACCCATTGTAGCGAATTTATCAGGAAATAAATACAATGGTTTCCAGGAGGGACCATGGGGAAATCGCCCGGACAGAGTATATGGGTATCAAAAAAGGATTGTTAGTAATGGGGTCTAGAAGCCCCATTGCTCTCTGTCAGGTGAACCTCCATACGGTTCCCCCTGGAAAACAACGTGCTTAAATTTATTTTGAATTCGTAACAATGGGTTATCTGACCTGTATTCTGTTATTCTCACTATTGTGTCGCACTGTGCTTCGCCAGTGTACCATATACTGATAGCACAAGCGAGGGTACCATTCCATTTTGACCTAAAACGGAGCCAATTCTGAAAAAATCGTTTTCTAAATTAGCTCGACCGGGAATCGAATATGAGACCTCATCACGCGAAGCAACGTAACAGCTCACTGTGCTATGGATGCCGTCAAATATGGTATTATTATTAACATTATTATGTTAGCATTATTTTAATTTAATCGAAATTAAACAAGGGTCGAAACTAATTGATCTGCATCTTCTGATCACATAGCATTTCCCAAATCATATTACAATCGGAATCAATATGGTATCAGTATATATAACCAATCATTTAATCTCATGTAAACCCAAGTACAGTTATATTAATTAGTGTCTATGGAAGACCGTATCAATATAAGACGTATTTATTTCTATAATAATTATAATGACTTGGCAATTACATTACCGAAACGTGCCCCCTTGATGTAGCTACTCGTACACTGATACTGATTTTTACTAACTTTGTTCCATCGTGACAAGACAGTGATACCGATACTTAGTTCAATAGTGATAATGTGAATAGATTTCAATATCTGTATTGAACTCGTATCAGTAACATCAATACAGCTTTAATATGATTGATGACATTGATATTGATTTCATTTATATATTTTTTTAAGTTCAAGTTTAATCATTAAGTTAGTGCGTTCTATGAAATGATCAGTTTTATCGTCAATACGTTCTCAAATAATTACGTAGGGAAAAGTATATATAATTCTTGATCATTGTTTATGCTGAAAAATAATACAAATAACATGATAATTGTTATCCGCGGTTAATTCACGCGAATCAGAATGTGTACTATGTGATATAACCTACTTATGTATCAAATTTCATTCATATCAGTTTAGCACTTGGAGCGTGGTTAACAAATATGCAAACATCATTACAAACTTTTATTATTAGGACTATTATTGTATTTTATTAATTAATAATAGCAGTAGATAATTGAAGTTAATCAAAATTATATTAATTGTTTCTTTTTCTTAGGTATGTTATTTAAGTGCTATGTTATATACAGGTATAAAGCCTATTATGAACAAAACATTCGAAAGTCATTGCCTAATTTCAGTGGATATATTTACGGATTAGTCGAATGATTACATTGATTATTATCAATAGATAAGAATCAACAAGAATGGCTACACTAAAGAAATTACATTCTACTTAATTGTTTCTCTTTTGATTCGGAATCATGGAACGTATAACACTTCATCTGAGTACAAAGTGCCTTCATAACTTATTCACATCGTGATAATGGTTGTATGTAGGTTTTCGTATTCTCAATTTCTCATTGGCGTTATCACGGTTAATTTGGGATCCCCTGTCTCATCTAACTCATATAAAAGGTACTTGTAATTTTAACAGAGCGACGAGTGAGTGAGGTTTATGTACATGACAAAGTATAGCTGGCATTACATATACTGTATATAATATACTCGATATTACGTATACCATTGTCATTTATTCTTCATAAAATATTTTATATAAATATTTTAAGAAGAATGAAAATACATACTTTTCACGTGTGTACCTTTTCTGTATGATTTTTCAAGTACCTATATGACTACAAACATAACAAAAAAGAATTAGCCAAACAAACGCAGCCATTTTGAATTGACGTGTTTACGTTACAGTTAATTTTTATTTATATAGATCGTAGAAACTTTTAATACAATTTTTTTTTTTAATTCTTAACAATCCAAATATCAAGTTAGTTTTTAAATTTTTCTTCATTAATCGATTCGTGATCCTTTTGGGAAAATGTTTAGTTCTATTGGTAGTTTTCATTCTGTATTTTTAAAAATAATATACAATGATAATTTATAATTATAATTTAAATAGAATATCAAAATTACGCACCAAAAAATTTCAAAACGGTGTTCACGGTCTGCGTTACGGACATTCAAACCAGCAAAATGAAAAGGAAACCTTTTAATATTATCAATATTTATAATACTAATACTACTACTTTTGACTTTATTTGTGTATCAGATATATGTTGCTAACCGAGATAAATAGTGTAAAATAACCCAATACTTTTCTTTATTCCAAATTAAACGTTTATACCTTTCAATATGTAATAAGCTATCCCATGTTCTAAGTAAGGATATGACCTAACCGCGTACCAATTTCATTCAAGTTCGTTTACTAGTTTTTGCGTGTAACTCATTCACGCACAAGCTACTAACATTAATCAACAGAAACATTCTCACAAACTTTCGCATTTATATTACATAGTAGTAGAAAACAAGATTAGTAAGGATTAAACCATTGACCGCGGACATAGGCGGCGCATTAAGTAACAAATAAATAGTTTTCACTCCATATAATTCCATATAAATATAAAATTAATAAAATTATTTGTACATGTTATTACTAATGACTTTTAGTTTCGTAAATATAATAAAATCGAGATAATAAGAATACAGCTTAATGTTTCAATCGAACCAAAATACCAAAATTCAAAATACAAAAGATATGAGGTGAAATTTATAAAATAAA